TCTAGAATATAGAAAGGTATAATACAATAAACGAATATAAATAAAAATATAGTATTATCGTATGATAATGGAATCAAATACGTAGTATTTACAGTAAAGAGTCTTCGTTTATTGAGAAAAAAATCAATATACTTTTAATATCAAATCAGGATTCACTAGGACAGAAATAAAGGTGGGCAAAATAGATTTTCCAAGGCAGGCAACACATTCGCCTGCCTCAAAAGGCCTACGTTAATCAGAAGGACGCAAATGCCTGCCTGTGTTAATAAAAATAACAGAGGCGGCAACAAAAGCCAGCCTGTGTAAATAATTTCATGAATTAAAAAAGCCCACCGAGCCCGGTAGCCCACTGAGCCTGGTCCCACCGCCGTCGGGCGTCACCAGGACCCGCCCTTGTGCCACCAGGAGCCGCCACCATCGAATCCGTCATTCCCGCGTGCGCCGGAGGTGTCCCAGTCAACGGATATGGCCTCCCCGAGCGCGCCGCCGACAGATCCATGCGCCCGCATCCAGATTCAAGCCCCCGCCGCCCCCGGTGGCCGGATCCGGCCTCCCCGAGTGCATCACCGACGGATCAGGCCTCCCGGAGCGCACCGCCGATGAATCCACGCGCTTGCAACCGGATCCGCTCGCTTGAAGCCGGATCGACGCGCCTGTAGCCGAAACCACGCCCCGCCTCCTTCGGTGGCCGGATCCGCGCCGGGAGCTGGGAGAGCCACCGGGGTGAAGCCGCATGCACGTGCCACCGCTGGAAGGAGGTGGCACCCTTCGCGCCCTGCGCGCTCCACCAGGATCCGACGCTGGCCGCCCGCGAGCTCCTAAGCGTTAGCGCCGCTGCCGGCCGCCATGCTCCGCGGGGAGGGAGAGAGCGCTCCACGTGTTGAGAGAGAGAAAGAGAAGCGCCGAGAGAGAGCCCGCGCTCCACGCGGGTGAGCTGTCAGCCCGAGAGAGAGAGAGAGAGAGGTGAGAAACCCCAAGTGTCGTATATATACTTCAAGTGCGCTATCGGGCTGAACTGGGCCAAGCATATTGGCTGCGAGCTCGGTGTATTAACCGAGGCGGACCTCTTAGGAGGCCTGCCTCCCTTAATCGATTTTAGGGACTGTCTCCGTAAATCGATTTTGTGAGGCGGTTAATGGTGACCGTCTTCGTAAATAAAAACGTCCGTTTCCAAAAATCCTCAGGCATTTTACAAAATTGTTAGATTTTGTGACGGTCTCGATTAATATTTGGGCAGTGTGTCGCAAAATTGTTTTTTTAGCGGTGCATAGGTGCGGTTCGGTGGCAGGGGTGTAGATCCGTTGGCCGAGGGTGCGGATCCGGTGGCTAGGGGTGGGGACTCATCACTCCACGGATGACTGGTGCTTGTGCGGCGCGGCAACGGTGGCGGCACAGGTGCGGCGGCACGGGCTCGTGTAGCAGCATGGGCCCGGCGGCGCCAGCTGCGCACGGAGACGGCCCAGCTGCGTGGTTGACCGCGTGTTGCCCAGCGGCGCGGGGTGGGTCGACACCCTCGGTCGCACGCTTCCGGGGAAGTGTCGGCTGCGGCGTTGTCTGGCTCCCGGCCGTGCTGTTGGGGCACGGCAGCCATGGCTCTCGGCCACAGCGTCCTTGCTGTGGCATGGCCTTCCTTTCGCAGCGGTTTCCGTGAGCTCATCTCGGGAGCTACGTGTGGTGGCGGACGACAGGTATCTTCACTGGCTTCCCGGGAGCTGCTGCGTTGGCCACTCGCGTCGGACTGTGACCAAATTAACGTAGTGGTGCTTGCTGGACCGGTAGACATTTGGTGGTGCAGCCGCTTTGTGCAGGTATGAGGTGGATTGTAGCAAGCGAAAGCCCCAGCTGGCGTTAGCCTGAGCCTACGACAACGACACTTTGGGTGTCGTTCTCTTCCTTGGAAGCATCGTCGAGGCACCTCCCTCATCCTGCGGGGTTCTTCTGAGGAAACTCCACCTATAGGATACCTAGGCAGGTGACATCGGCAATCAGCGTTGTTCCCTTCCTAGAGGTGTCACCTAGAAGCCCTGCACCGTCTGAATGGAGGTCGTTTCGCGCGGGACGTTGTTTGCTTGTCTGCAAGCCTTTGGATTTTCGACGAGGCCTGGCTCTTTCGGCTTTGTTACTTGCTTGCAATGCATCTCCGGCTCTCCTAGGGGTAGGGATCAAAACGGATCGGATACGAACGGATATCATTCATATTATATTTGTTTTCATATTTCTGTTCGGATTCGGATTCGGACACGGATAGCGTTCGGATACATATACGAATACGGATTGACTCGGTTACGGATACGAATAATGAGTATCGAATACGGTATGAATCGGATTCGGAGAAGGCCGGATACAAATATCTATTCGGATATTGAGTAAAAGCAACATATATATATATATATATATATATATATATATATATATATATATATATATATATATATATATATATATATATATCATACATGCGCAAACCATTACACCACTCTATGAGTCCATAATCCATCTAGATTAAGCCGAAAGACTAAAGAGTAAAGCAACAAATAAGATAAAGATACAGATACATCATACATCAAACATCATATAAGCACCAATCTTCGCGGCATGAGTAGAAATAGCCAAGCACATTGCTTCATGGGTCTCATGGAGTCATGGTCATGGATTCAAGATCTACAATCCTTATATAGGCCATTTTTTCATTTTGAGAAAGTTTGAACAAAATGTAGTTCAAATTTCACAAGTGTGTGATATAGTTTTAGAAAGTCTGTATGAGATTTAAGAATTTGTGACTAGTGTTTGATAAAACTTTCTCAAATGGGAAAATGAGCTATGTAACAATTGTATATCTTGCTGAGATGATCAAACTTGGTATTCAGAGTTTTTTCATCTGAGATCATTTAGTGTCTCATTTGAGCAAGTTTGACCAAGTCAAATTTGGTCAAATGAAAAAACAACACTTTGACTCTAGTATTATGAACTCTAAATGACTTCAAATTGAAAAGTTTTGAATACCAAGTTTATTCAACTCATCAAGATCTACAATTCTTGTTTTGGTCAACTTTCCATTTGAGATAGTTTGGACGGTTCAAATTTGTGATTTTTAAATTTCGATGCTTACAAACTAGTTTTCTGAACCCTAGATTGTCTCAAATTGAAAAGTTTTGAATACCAAGTTTGTTCAGCTCATCAAGATCTACAATCCTTATATAGGCTATTTTTTCATTTGAGAAAGTTTGAATAAAATGTAGTTCAAATTTCACAAGTGTGTGACATAGTTTCAGAAAGTCTATATGAGATTCAAGAATTTGTGACTAGTGTTTGATAAAACTTTCTCAAATGGAAAAATGAGCTATGTAACAATTGTATATCTTGCTGAGATGATCAAACTTGGTATTCAGAGTTTTTTCATCTGAGGTCATTTAGTGTCTCATTTGAGCAAGTTTGACCAAGTCAAATTTGGTCAAATGAAAAAACAACACTTTGACTCTAGTATTATGAACTCTAAATGACTTCAAATTGAAAAGTTTTGAATACCAAGTTTGTTCAACTCATCAAGATATACAATTTTTGTTTTGGTCAACTTTCCATTTGAGATAGTTTGGACGGTTCAAATTTGTGATTTTTAAATTTCGACGTTTACAAACTAGTTTCCGGAACCCTAGATTGTCTCAAATTGAAAAGTTTTGAATACCAAATTTGTTCATCTCATCAAGATATACAATCCTTATATAGGCCATTTTTTCATTTGAGAAAGTTTGAACAAAATATAGTTTAAATTTCACAAGTGTGTGACATAGTTTCAGAAAGTCTATATGAGATTCAAGAATTTATGACTAGTGTTTGATAAAACTTTCTCAAATGAGAAAATGAGCTATGTAACAATTGTAGATCTTGCTGAGATGATCAAACTTGGTATTCCGAGTTTTTTCATCTGAGGTCATTTAGTGTCTCATTTGAGCAAGTTTGACCAAGTCAAATTTGGTCAAATGAAAAAACAACACTTTGACTCTAGTATTATGAACTCTAAATGACTTCAAATTGAAAAGTTTTGAATACCAAGTTTGTTCAACTCATCAAGATCTACAATTGTTGTTTTGGTCAACTTTCCATTTGAGATAGTTTGGATGGTTCAAATTTGTGATTTTTAAATTTTGAATAAATATCCGGATAATATCCGTTTTTAAATATCCGGATATATCCGATACTTATCCGGATTATCCGATATCCGCCGGATATCGATGATATTACATCCGTATTTGATATCCGGCTAAGATATCCGTTTTAGTATCCGTATCCGGAAAAAAAAACGGATATCCGAGTAACTATCCAGATAAATGTTCATATTTGTTCGGTCGAACGGACGGTCGAATAAATATCCGTACCGTTTTCATCCATACCTAGGGGTGATCTGTTGCTGAAGTCGGAGCTGCATTGTTTTGGGTGCAACGACGACACCGATGACACGCCGCGTTCACATCTTGGGAGGTCAAGGCTTGTTGCGAGTATGTGGCGCCGTGTCATGGTCCTTGACTAATGTTCACCATGGAAGTCGGAGCTGCTTATTGCTGCTGTGGTATGCTCGGCAACGATGACATGTGGTGGCTCCATCAGGTCCTTGGCTGATGTTCACCGTGGGAAGTGGGAGCTACTTACTGTTGCTTGTGGTAAGCTCGGCAATGACGACATGTCGTGGGCTTTGTCGGGTGTCCTTTTTGTGTTGCCTAGGGATTGTCGGATGGGCTGTCGTGGTTGGTTTTTATTGGTTTTCTATCTAATAAACCGTGCGTCTGTATGGTTTTTTAAGGCTGGATTCCCTTATAAACCAGATCAGTGACATTCTACTTAATCGAAAGACAGAGCTCCTGCCATTGCGTTAAAAAAATGTAAAAGAAATTGAGGAAAGGAACAAGTTTTTAATAAACAGAACATCAGGTAATAATATGTAATTTTGAATGCTACGGAAAAAAATGCATTCAACTTATGTGGGTTTCTTGATATTCCAACAAAAATTAATCGAAAGGGAACGTACCAGTGATATACTTGTCAAGACTCCCTTTGGGCAGAAACTCAAAGCAGAGCAATCTTTGTCGTTCTTCCGCCTGGATCATCTTCCCCTCATGGTTCAATATTTTCCCTTGTGTGTCAGAACAGTACCCCAAAAACTGCACTATATTTTTGTGCTTTGCCATTATCAGACAACCAACCTCTTTGATAAATTTCTCCTCATCCGTATCACGAGTGTTGAAGAGTTTCTTCACAGCAATGACTGTCCCATTCTGAAGTACTCCCTGCAGTGACAAAGTTGCATTATGCCTTTTAGATCAACTGTAGTAATCAGGAATAATGACAATTCAGAGTCACTCGTAAGTCGTACCTTGTACACATCTGCAAACCCACCACCCCCAATTTTCCTATGATCCGTGAAATCATTCGTGATGGCCTTTAGAAGCGATATTGGCAGGTTTGTCGGCTCTGCACTTGGATCAAGCAGCATGCACTCCAAGAGATGTTCCATGCTAGCTTCACTGTCCATTTCTCCTTTTTATAATCACATATGAATGTAGTTTCAGTCCAGACAAAAGGCGTAACAAATTGTTCTCTTAAAAGAGAATAAGCACTAAAAAACACTTATTTCAGGCGAGAGAAAAAATCAATTTTGTCCTTTTTTTCCTGTTCTTCAAACTTGATCAACCTTTCCGATCGAGCTTACTAACAATCCCCGGATCAGTAAAACAGGTTACTAGGAAAAGGTCACCAGATTAAGATTTTTCAGCAAACATAGAACAATCCGCGGATCAGTAAAACAGGTTACTAGCAAAAGATCGCTAGGTTAAGATTTTTCAGCAAATTACACATAGAACAATCCCCGGATCAGTAAAGCAGGTTACTAGCAAATTAAAGGCACTAGATGCGTACTCATGGATGGAGAGAAATCATTGGTAGAATCGATCACTAACCTGAAAGAAGCTGGAGGCCTGCACGCTGGTTGCAAAGCACTGCTGCCTTCAGATCTGGAGAAGAAGAGTGCCAGCCTTCGTCGATAAATACAATGCTGTCGATAAATACATACAATTGTATAACAACTGAAGGACCGAAAAGGCGACCAGAGGGGGGGTGAATGGGAGCCGTAAAATTTCTCACGAGACTTTTTCGATCGCTGTCCCAAAACACCTCCAAGCACAAACGAGTTCCGGAGCTCAAATATCCAAGCCAACTAGTAACAAGAGTACCTACTAAAATTCCTCGGAACAGTAGAAAGCCAACGCAGCAGACGGAACACGAAACGGAGCTCAAACAACTAAGCTACAGAAGAAGAAGCAAGCTCTAAAAATAGACCAACATTTGGGTTGCTAACAAAAACAACCATGAGCTCACTGTAGGAAATATGATCAATCACTTGTACTTGACGTGAAATAAATAAATGACCATACAGTGATTACTTCTTGTAGCTGAGGCTGACAACACAATAATAGATGTAGAAACAAAAGTCACGATCAAGGCAGGCACTTGCTGCTAGACAGAACCTGCAAATTTCAGTTGATCTGCACAGAAAAGAAATGCAAGCAGCTGCTGCTCTGCGGGGTATTTGCACCTGGAATCCATGGCAAGCAACTGCTCGATGACACACCTGCAAGACCGAGCAGTAGAGGCAAGTAGCCCTGACGAGAAACTGATTCCCAGAACGAACACAGAAAGAGAGACCGAACACCCAGTCGCTCACAGCAACCGACCGCACCAGTGTCCTCGCAGCATGCTCGACCGGTGATTCAATGAAACCAGAGATGTGCTGGAAGCAGCTACAGGGACAAGCAGGGTCTGCGCTGCTCCCCTCACCAGATTGAAGTGTCGACCTGAAGGCAGAGTACGAAGAACAAAACGAGCAGGCCGAGCGTTACGAACAGAAACAAGGGCGACCCAAGAATCAAGGAAAAACAGCTCCAAACTCCATGATTTGTTCCCAAATTTTGTACACAAAATCTTAAGAGGATCAGTGAGCTATTCCCGAGAAATCATCGCTCAATTTCAACTGTAACTCTGAAAATCAAGGAGATTTGAGCAAGAACGAGTTTTTCCCCAAAAAAGGAAAATCGGCTTGATCTTGATGCACGAGTGGAATTGATTCAAATCACTTGGTAGAATTGTTCATCACTCGTCAAAGCATCAACTGGACCAAACAAATCACACAGAAAAACATAAATCAAGAAGGGGAAACTGGTGAACAGTAACTCGCGAAAAAGAAAAACACGAACACAAACACACATCAGGTTTCCGCATCCAGAGGACAAAAAGAGGTTAGGGCCTCCATTCCCAGTACCAAATCACACCAAAATATATCACGAATTTTTAGTTCATGGGACCTCTCTCAAGAGTGCTTAGAAGAAGAAACCCTAGGTGGAGGGAGAGAATGAGAGAATGGGAGAGAGGTAAGGGAGATGAGGCCCCATCATCCTATTTAATGCGTATTATTACACATTCCCGGTTTTCTTGCGGATACAAATGAGTTGAACCGCTAAGCCCAAGGGCGTTGTTGTCCAACCCGTGTAATCTTGATCCGATAGCCACAGCGCCTACTCACCGGTAGCTTCACCGACGCGAACTCCCCGATGCCGCCACGTCGTCTTGGTCCGTCCCTCCTCGGAACCTCCGCCTGGGTTTTGAGGCCCAAACCCGTAACCGTCCATGGTGGCGTACTCCATCACGCGTTCCCCGCCATCCAACGCGATGTCACCACTGTCCCAACTGCAGCCCGCCCGCCAAGTCCTCCCGAGCCTCGCTCGACTCACGCGTCCGCCGTCTTGACCCGGTCCAACACCGTCACTCCATGTCTTCTTGCACTTTTTGATGTTCCAAGTGTCAGCCACCGCGGCTAGTCGCCCGACCTCACGGTCCCTCGGTCCAAGCCTCACGTCTGGTCCTTCACCGCTCTCTCCGGTCTCCGGTCGGCGCAACGACGTCCTCCTTGACCTTCACTGTCGTCAATCAACTACCGCCTCCAGTGCTCCACACCTACACACCACGAGCCAAGAGACAAGCACACATAGCTTTCGCCATGGTAGAGTTAGTAACCGACTCAACCTATTCGTGGATCACGTTGATCAATCACTCATCACACAAAAACACGAACACACAAGGGTACTTGTCAACCTTGTGTTCGCAATCTCCCCCTTGATGAGTGCATTGTCAACACCAATACACGAACAGCTTGAGCAAAAGAAAAAGAAGAAGAAGAGAAAAGAAAGAACTCACCCAAATGACCAAAAGCCAAAGAAAAGCCAAGAACCGGGTCATTTGAAAATGAGCAAAACTTGGTCCCCAAAGACATGGGCAACGGCTCGACGCAACCAAGTAAAACAAAGCTAGCCCTCAAGAAGAGGCAATGGGCTCAACACCACTAGCAAAGCTCGAAAAACCGAAAAACTGCTAGACCCTCCAGAAGAGGCAAAGGCTCAACACATCTAGCAAAACACCTCAAATGCAACTCCCCCTGAACAAGTGCAATCTCTCTCAAATGAATGCATATCTCTCAACTTTAGGTGAAATTGGAAGTTTGAAATTGGAAGTTTCTTCCCCTTGTGTCATTGTGAGTGTGGAAAACTTCTCCCCCTTGTTGACACATGCACTTATCAAGCTAGAGCCCAAAGATTGCATCTCCCCCTCAAATCATGCTATGAATGCAGAAATGCACGAATGCGGAAGCTTCAAGATTATAGTAAGTAGATTGAAAAGAGGCTCTAGTTGATGCTGTCATGTATATATAGCAACACATACAAGTGCTAGCAAATGCTCAAAGTGACCAAATGAGACGAAATATGGCATTTAAGCAATTTTGATCAAGTTTGAGCAATTTTAAAAGAGGGTTCACCACCAAAGGAGCACATAGCAAAAGTAGACAGGAGATTGACCTTGTGCTACACATGTATGCAAAGTGAACTACCCCAAACAAAGTTCACACATCATGTCATGAAACAAACTTGTGGTTTGATCAGATTTTAGATACCAATTGAAATTTATCGGAGTCATGCAACTTATTACCCAAGTTTGTCGGAGACAAGTGTAAAAGGGAGGTTATCTGTACCATCAAAACCTGACTTAGCGACCATGTCAAGCCTATGCCAAAGGCAATCGGAAGCTTAAGACAATGATCTCGGTATCCATTACAGAGCTCAAGTTCACCAATAAGTGCAATTTGAAGTCATCTCAATACTCGACATAGGATAGTACAGACCCATCCCGATCTTTTCAATTCACTTAGTTTGTTTTTCAAGTTTTAGCACAAATTCAAGTTTCTCAAGCAAGTGTGTAACTCAAGGTATGAGCCGTAGCAACTAAGCATATATATGAAGCAAAGAAGATCTCGACACATTCTACACATGCTAGTTGCCACAAGTAGTGGTGAACACATTTCATGTTTTAACAAATTTTAATCAAGTTCACAGTTTGGAAAACAAGCTTAGCTCATAACATGCATCAATTGATCAAAAGGAGCCTAAGTCAATAGCACATCATGTATATCCATAACATCCCCAACAAGAGCATAGTGTCAATCTAGCTACTATAAGGATGAAGCTCAGGATGCAATATGATACATGATGATATGATATGCAAGTATGATGTAAAAATAAAAACAAAAGCTAAACTACAAAGAAAAGCAAAACTAGAATAACACAACCAAAGTTCCCCTCCTCTAAAAAGGGAAACAAACTCCAAGCTCCCTCGCAAGCGAGCAAACCGGGCTTGGTCAAGTGGTTTGTGAAGATATCTCATGAGAGCTGGTTTTGGGTATCAATGTGGTGCGGACCAATATCACCGTTCTCATAGTGGTCACGCAAGAAGTGAAAGCGAACTTCTATGTGCTTTGTCTTTGAGTGAAGGACTGGGTTTTTGGCTACACTTATGGCAATCGGTGTTGTCACAAAACAAAGGCACTCGCCTAAACTCTAACCCAAAGTCTCTCGTAGTAGCTATCATCCAAAGCAATCGAACAACAAGCAAAGACCATAATATACTCAACTTACATGGTGGATTGGGCGACGCTAGACCGCTTAAGCGAAGACCAAGACACAAGAGAAGATCCAAGAAACCGACAAGTCCCGAAGTGGACTTCCTCTCAACACGACAACCAAAGATAATCCGCATCGTAATACCCGCAAAGAGAAAGAGAGGAGGAGGCCGAAACCAAAGACCAAACTCGGGTGTGAAACGAAGGTACACGAGATCCGCTTGATGGCTTGAGCGATGAGACGTCTGCGGCGAAGATCGAAATCAGCAGCGCAAGCAAGCAGGCTATGAATGGATGTCTGGTCTCGTCGCCGTTAGGTACAAAGAGGGACCCGATCATGCTTCGGTATTCCTTCGGTCCACGGCTTCTCCTCCTTGTCCTCATCCGGGGCCGTCGTGGTTGACATGGGCGTTGAAAGAGGCTTGGCCTCACCCATATCAAATTTCTTGAGCACGTCCTTGGTGTACTTGCCTTGGTGCACTGACGTCCCCTCACAAGTTTGCTTGATTTGCAGCCCGAGGAAGAAAGTCAAT